TGCTTTTTAAATAAAATATATAAAAATAATAATATAATATTTGAGGGAAAATTAACAACAATGCAGTGTTTAGCATTCGTCGACTAAGTACCAAGACACTACCGTGTCTCCAGATATTGAAAACAGAACAAAATGATGGAAATTGGTTTGCGGGTGCGTTCTAATATCACTTAATTCATCAAAATCACACTTGAATAGACTCGAAACACACTCTGACTCTCCTCCCGAGCAGAGGCGAAGAGTGTCGATTGAGTTTGAACAAAATTGTAAATGGAAAGCGACGTGTGTCGATTTGTGTCAAGTGTGTCGACTGTGTCTCCTAAAAGGAAAGCAGCCTATATTTAAGATCGCCTTAAGTTCGATCTTAAGATGTCTTAAGACGCTAATGCAGCCTTCTGATTGGTTCGTGACTTCTTAAGACCGTGCTTAAGACGGTCTTGAATATAAGATCTGACTATGAATATCGGCCATCGTCGCTAAAATCGTACAAGAAAATAATAATAATTCCGTTCTCATGTGAAAACTTTCCTTGTTTGTTTACATTTCTGCTTACCTTTCTCTTGATATGGAAATCAGCGTGTATACTCTCTCATCACCTCCGTAGCATTGGGAGGGCTCCGATTGCACACATCGCATATTGCACACATGTATCGCTGATTGGCCAATTTAAAAATAAAATAATCTCATTGGCAAAACAGTGAAAAATTACTAGGCATCAGTTGATATGAGTGGTGTGTACAATCATAACTGTAGGCAAACGGGATCCTTCCCGTAGCATTACTAGAGCACTAGAAACGTAGGTATTCGCATCCACCATTTTTACTCCTTTTCTGTGACGGTTTATGGGCATTACAGGTTATGATTTGTATTTGCTGCTTGAAATTTTGTAGCTCCATTCATTCCTACAAGGAATTAGCTTGTTTCCAACAGCTTAGAAGCTATAATCTATAACAACCGTAACAATGATGATAATTTTCTCAGCTCAGTGGGAACAGAGCAAGGATAGGGGAAAGGAGTAAAAATGGCGGATATACGAATACTCACGTTTATAGTGCTTTAGCATTACCATGTCAACATATTCAACGTGTACGTGTTAGATTGTGTACTCGGCATAATGTGACAGGAGTAATCCACTCGATAACTTCTGACGAGTAACTAACGAATTTATAGGAGAAAGGCAAAACTTTAAAAAAACAAGGAACGTTTTCACGTGAGAACGGAATCATTATTATTATTGTTTACGTGTACGATCTTAGCGACGATAATACTTCAGAGGCAGTGCAAGAACGAAGCAAAAGTATGTTTTGCCATCTTCGCGATTTTTTCCAAAACAAAGTAAAAACGAACATATCTCTAGAGGATTTTTTTTTCTTAGTTTATCGATCTCCTAAACATTACAGAAGCTTTGCCATTTAAATTCGAGATACCCTGTATAATGATCCTACGCTATTTATTATTACCACGCATGAAGTAAGATATAAGGAGACTCCACTCAGTCTAGCTAGTCGACGAAACATGGACCGATTTTAGGTTTCGAGTTTAAGTTCCGATTCTCGACACTCACAGCGCTCATGAAATTAGTAGTGCTGCGCATAATGAGTGCGCCGTAGTTAGAAACGGTAGCTAAAAACGATTAAAAAAGGTGGAAAGAAACTGTATTCCGAAAAAGAGTTCTGAAAAACCGATCGTCTAGTCTAGATCGCCTTGCCACTAATAGAAGAAGTATTCCGAAAAAAGTGTGAAAAATCCGAATCTTTAAAGACAAATAGGAGAATTGCAAATATTGCAATGCCATTTTGTTGTA